CTATAAAAGAGCATTCACTTTCTAAGTTAATATCGACTGTATTCCTATCATATGACATCTAAGCCTTCCATATTTACATCAGTTCTATGTTTAGTTTTGTTTTTTAGGGGTTTTTTTTTTTTGAGTTGGAGTCGCACTCTGTCGCCCAGGCTGGAGTGCAGTGGCATGCTCACGCCCACCCCAGCGTCGACCTGCTGGGCTCAGGCGATCCTTGTGCCTTAGTCTTCCAAGTAGCCGGAACTACAGGCGCATGCTACCACCCACAGCTAATTTTTTATTTATTGTAAAGTCAAGGTCTCACCAAGTTGCCTGGGCTGGTCTTGAACCTACAGGCTCGGGCAATCCACTCACCTTGGTCTCCCAAAGTGTTGGGATTACAGGCTGAGCCACCGAGCCCGGCTAGTTCTATGTTTTAAAAAAATTGCCATTATCACTATTTGCTTGTGCTAGCAGAATGTTTAAAGTTGGAAGAATAAAGTCCAAGATAGGGTTATGGAAGGGTTTATAATATTCCTCAGCACAGAGAACCAGAGAGAAAAGCAAACCAGAAAATTGAATCTAGAAGCCAAAGGACTGTTGGGGGGTCTCACTTCATCACTCAGGCTGGAGTAGAGTGGCATGATCATGACTCATTGCAACATTGACCTTCTGGGCTGAGGCAGTCCTTACGCCCCAGCCTCCCAATAGTTGGGACTACAGGTACACACCACCATGTCTGGCTAGCTTTTTAATTTTTTTGTTGAAACAAGGTCTCACTATGTTGTACAGGCTGGTCTCAAACTCCTGGGCTCAAGTGATCCCATCCCAAAGTACTGGGATTATAGGTGGGAGCCACTGTACCTGGTCCATTCCTGGTTAGTTTTGACTTGACTGGGCCCTGATATAGCTTTGCTCCTCAATAAGACTTTGAAATCTGTATGGAATTTAGAAAGAATGAAGGAATGCTGATTAATCTAGTATACATTTTAAATCTCCCTAGGACTATCAATCTAAATTTAGGCAAGAAGAAGACAAAAGCTTTTATCAGCATGCTCCAAATAGTGCTGAAAGTGAATCAGTCAGCTCATAATTTATATATTTTTTCTTCATTTGCCTGGTTGCCTGGTGTGATGAATTGCATACCTGTATCTAGGAACTAAGTATCAGTAAAAAAAGGAAAAAAAAAATTCCTCACTAAGCTATCAGAGAAACTGAACATAGTTGTTGTATTTGGATTCCTCCTCAGAACTGAGTTTCTAAATAACACTGCCAGTCTCCTGGGGGAGTGAGGGATCTAACCCAAAAACTCTGACCCAAATAAATCTCCAGTAGAAAACTGAAGAATGATAAATGAGGTGCCAGCCAACTTCTCTAAATTAGTATGTGTGGATTTCTTTTTCCCCTTTTCAAAATGAATTCAGTGCTTCTCTGTATTAACAGCTTTGGAGACCCAAAATGTTCTATCTTAGTAGCTTCAGTCCTTCTCTTACTAATTTGAAATCTCCAAGTTGGAAAAGGAAGTTTTTTCATACTGATTTCCAGATCTTCCAGATCTTGAGGCTGACCCTCACAATGCGAATCTGCATTTTCCACAGTTAAGGAGAAGCAGGGGGTCCATACCTGAAAATTAACTAGATGATAGGCAGGTAACTACTGTAACTACTAATATTTGAATAGTGCTCACCTGCATACTCTGTGATTGAGAAAGGAGGGTCTCAGGGTACAGCATATGCAATTTTGATTTCTAGGTCACTAGCAGCTAAGAAATGCCTGGTGGGAAAACTTCAACAACTAAATATTCTGTGTGTGTGTGTGTGTTTTACACAAGGAGGGCATAGGCATGCTGGAATTTCTTCCTCCATAACATTTTCAGCCTTACAAAGGTTTTTTCTAAAGTCCTAACATGAAGCATTTAGGCTACATGCTCTCGTTTCTCATTCTAGGCATTTCCTTGATAGCAAACACCTAGTTGGCCAGTAATGGGGGGATAATATTTTTATGATTCTGATTGGAAATGTCTCAGCAGATTCAAAATGCAGAAGGCACAATCTCAATTCTATTATCCTGACAAAACTTAATTCAAGCAAACCTTCAGAGCTCCTCTGTTTGCAATTCCTAGTTCAAATCCCACTTGAAAATCAAGTTCTTTTTCCTAGCTCCTTACTCGTATGTGAGCCCTATTTTCATTTAATTTCTCCAAGATTTTAAAAGACCTACTCTGCTGCCTTAATATATTTTGAGAATTTTTTTTTTTTTTTTGAGTTGGAGTCTCACTTGGTCGCCCAGACTAGAGTGCAGTGGCTGCTCCCGGCCACCGCAGCCTCGACTGCTGGGCTCCGGCGATCCTTCCGCCTCAGCCTTCCAAGTAGCCGGAATTACAGGCAAGCGCTACCACGCTAGGCTGATTTTTTGATTTATTGTAGAGATGAGGTCTTGCTGCCCAGGCGGGTCTCGAACCCGCGGGCTCAGGCAATCCACTCACCTCAGCCTCCCAAAGGCGCAGGATTACAGGCTGAGCCACTGAACCGGGCTCCCTAGCCCTTTTTTGAGGCAATGCCCTGCTCATTATCAGCTCACGAGAAGCTAATATTTGTCCTCTCTCCATCTAATCCTTACCTTGGTCTACACAGTCTGATCAGGGTTCTTCTTCCTGGCTCTATTCAGGCCCATCTCTTCCTGGCCAAGTGTGAACAACATTAATATTTCTCACGCTATCTTTCCTCCATCTTTCGAAAGGTGAAGAGCTCTTATATACTTGCCTAGCCTTACCACCAGTTGGAAGGACTTCTGCACATCAGAAGGAATGAATTATAAACAAACTTCAGTCCCCACTGAACCGGGGCTGGAATACAACAGGTGATTGTGAGACAAAAGGCTCTGTGAACATCAGCCCTCTTCCTTGCACTTGGTTTGGCAGGACTTGCCTAAGTAAATGACTCTCATAATCCAAAAGCGAGACTTCATTCTGCTGGTAATCACACATACTTGTTTAAAGAACTCTTCCCAAGGATATAATAGGCATTTCCCAAGATTGGTCAGCACCGGACTGGTACTAAAGCAGCCATTTGTCTCTGAAGACAAATGTATATTGTATATTGCCTGTAAAACCAACACCACCTGAATGTCATTTGGGATGTATAGATGTATGTCTGTGAATAGTGACATATATTTCCCCAGCCCAGACCTCTTAGGTAGCTCAAAAGAAACTGTGAGGAAAGACAATTCTATGGGTTGGGTCGGGGGAGGGTCCATAACTTCTCATATTGCATCTATTTTTTATTTATCTTATGTTATTGTAAAGATGTGGGGTACAATTCAGGGTAAGGTATACAAATTGTTGATGAGTTGTGTCCCCGCCCCCAGCAGATTTCCACTGTTGCCAATCCCGCCCCCTCCCTCCCCTGGAGGTTTCCCACTAGTGCCAATCCTTTTCTTATAGTATTATGATAATTGTTCAAGGTCCGCTTATAAGTGAGAACATGTGATACTCAGTTCTTTGTGTCTATCAAATCTATTTTTAACAACCTTTTTTTAAATTAGAAAAAACATTTAAAGCATTTAAAAAAAAAAAAATCCATCTCACCTTTAATGTAATCAAGGAGTCACAACTAAAGAGAACCGACAGAATAATAGCTTGCCCAGTAGGCCCAATCTTTCCTTTAAAGGTCTATTTTTTGCTCCTAATTACGGTAGTCTGTGATTAGGAGATGGTAACTAATAATAAAGATTTTATTGTCTCTCTTTTTTCCTTTATCGTCAATGCTCTAATTACTCACTCTATTGCCCTTAACAAGGAACTATGGACACGCCACGGTGTGTAACCCTGATCATGTGACTCCCTGGGTACAGACAAGGATTGTGAGACACATGACTGGCTGTAAACACAGGAGCCTGGGATGGCTTTAATATCCTCTTAGACAGAAGCATGACAGATTAGTAGGGGACTCCTTCCTTCGAAGGAAACCAGGCCTCTGGCTATAGCTTTGTTTTTAACTCAGTCTTAGATCTTTGCAAACGCTTTCCCCCTGAACTTTAAAGGACCCATGCTTTTCAGCAACAGTTTAATGTGCATGAAACAAAAACTCAGATAAAGGGTTCAAGCATAAAATCTTGTTGAAGGGTCTGATTTCTCAAGATGCTTTCTACAAACTCAGTCACCACATCCAGGAAAGCACTTCAACAGAGAACTTCTTTCACTGAGAAAATACCAGCCTTAAAAATGTATGAGCCTTTATAAGTAGTTTTGAAGATCAAATGTTTTAAAGAAATACAACTTGCTATATTCTGTTGGGGGCAGGTTGTAATCAAGGTCTTCAGTTAAGTGTCTTGGACAAGAGATACCCACAGATGAAGCCGGGTAGCTGGGAGTAATAACCAGGAATCACAGGAATTGGAACCATATGATGATGAAATATCGGTGGAAGATGAATTATAGAAAGGCGAGTATGAATCCTTATATAACATGGATAAAGATCTGTGGGATGTTTGAAGAAAGTGGACTCGAAAGCTTAAAAAACACACACACACAAAGAAGACTCAAATACGTTAAAAAAAAAAACAAACATGATGCTTACATAGGAAGACTCAGTATTTCCAGATGCTAGTTCTTCCTTAATCTGTCAATTTAATAATATACCAATAAAAATATCAACAGTATGTTTTAAGCATAATGATCATTAATATATGTTCAGTGCTATCGATGTCATGTGCTTTCTGAGTGTTTTCATCTGTTACATAGTTTAGTCCCCACAATAATCTTGTGATTCTTTTTTTTTTTTTTTTTT